TATATAACACAAGTCCAGGAAACCATGGACACCACGAAGCAAGGAACCAAGGAAACCATGGAAACCATATAAACCATGGAAAGCATGGAAACCATGGAAACCGTAGAAACCAAAGAAACTATAGAAACCAAGGAAACCAAGGAAACCAAGGAAACCAAGGAAACCAAGGAAACCAAGAAAACCAAGGAAACCAAGAAAACCAAGAAAACCATAGAAACCATAGAAACCACGGAAACCATGGAAACCACACAAGCCAAGGAAACCACGGAAACCATGAAAACCACAGAAACAAAGGAAAGCATGGAAACCAAGGAAACTAAGGAAACCATAGAAAACCATAGAAACCATAGAAACCACGGAAACCATGGAAACCATAGGAACCAAGGAAACCATGGGAACCAAGGAAACCATGGGAACCAAGGAAACCAAGGAAACCATTGAAACCAGAAATCCCTTGTAAACAGTACTAAACCAAGAGAAACGCGTTCCAAAATGACCCCTTTACGCGTTCCAAAATGACCCCTTTACGCGTTCCAAAATGACTCCCTTACGCGTTCCAAAATGACCCCTCTCCCCCGGGGGGGGGGGCGGGCAAGCTGGGAGAGCGTGCTCGGACGGCTTTTTGGGGGATCTTTTGGAGGGCGGATTGGCAGGCCGCCGACATGGCTCTGGGCTTAGGTTTTTGCCATGTTCTTCTTCGTTTTGTTGGCTGTTTTTGGGGGCTGAGGGACCCTTCCAGTCGGTGAATGCACAAAAAAAGCCATGAAACAGAATGGAGCCCAGCTTCTGACATGTGCGCTCTTCTCTTTCGCAGTTCTTCTTGAAAGCTTGTCTTGCCAAACCAAACACATGAGAAAACATATGTTTTTTGCATCGGTTTTTCCCTGCGTTCGCTTCAGGCATTCGTGGTTTCTGTGCTTTGCCCGCGGTTTACCGGGCTCAGGGCTTCCTGATATCCTGATCCCCCCCCCCTTTGGCTCGAAGACCACGCCCCCACCCCCCGGATACACCAGAGCCCAACTTGAAGATGAAAACCTTCTTCTAGAAAAAAGCCGAAACTTGAGGCCCGTTTCAACTACCCGCTCCACCCAAAACCAAAATGAAACAGATTGTGCAACCGAACACCCCAGAAACAAGTCCAAGGCCCCGAGCCGAGAGAGTCGCAGTTCAATGTTCAGCGGCCCCAGCGTCTCCAGCTCAGCCTCCGGGCCTTGGGCAGGGGAGAGGGGAACCGGCGCACGCGCCCCAGAAGTCCCACCGCGCGCGGCCGCGTTTTCTTCTTCGCTGGCCCTTCGGAGCTGAGTCTTCGCCCAAATCGCAAATCGCACGCCAGTGGTTTTTTCCCCATCGTGGCCGTGGCCGCTCGGAAGGCCTGTGTACATCTAGACATGGAAGCCGCTAATCGAGTGTGAAGGGTCTCATTCGCCGAGCTGGCCATGCAGTGGCTATCGAGCACGCCGATCAGACCCCGGACATGATCACAGAAGGGAAGCAGTAAGATTTGCTGCCAGCAATTTGTGCTCGATAATCACAGAAGGGAAGAAGTACGATTTGTTGCCACCAATTTGTGCTCGACTGTCACAGAATGGCAGAAGTACGATTCGTTGTCACCAATGTGTCTTCGCTTGTACGATTTGTTGCCACCAATTTGTGCTCGATTGTCACATAAGGGAAGAAATACGATTTGTTGCCACCAATTTGTGCTCGATTGTCATAGAAGGTCACGCCACAGATTATTGAATGACTCCATCATTGAAAGAACGGCTTGGGGTTTAACGCTTGGAAAAGTTCTTGGGGCAACGCTGCACAAGAAAAGGCGTCCAACATCACTTTAAGTGTGAAGCCGGTCTAGGGTTCAGGGTCCTACTCTCTTCCACGTTCTGACGCGCGGGCTGCACGGACGCAAGGACGAGCATGATCGCCGACTTGTCCAGTCGGAGCATGTCCTCTATCGGTTGCTTGGTCTCTTATTTTATCGTGGCATCAGACCCTTCAAAACTCTAGATCCCCGAAACACCTTTCGAGCTGAACATGCCTCTCCAAGGTTTAAGTTACCTGCCTCAGGCTTTTACAGCGGCCCCATTATACCCCAAGCACCGGCTCTTGCCCTCCCAAATACAAAACCCAAACAAACGCTTAGCAACATCATCGCCCCTTCCAACAGCGCAAAAAGCCTATAGGCCCCTCTCTGTCTTTGCTTCTGAGTCCCTAAAAACCCAGCCAGAAACCTATAAACCCTAAGAACCTCCCCCAAAAGCACAAAAGGCGGCTTGCAACTGTTGTCTTTTCATATTAGTTGTATTATTTCATTTTTAGGCTTTTAGGGTGGGGGGAGGGGAGGGGGCCAGATCTCTGGTCTTGGAAGGCTTCGTGGTGTGAGTGCGCTTTCCGGTCTAAAAACTATAGTGGCTCCAATTCTTGTGCTGTGCTTTCAATCGTTTGGAGCAGAACTCAGGGGCTCAAAAAGCGCCCCAAGCCCACTTTGAGAGGTGTCTGGGAGCAAACCGTCACCCCCCTCGACCCTCCCTACTTGACCCTTGCATGAACCCTGTAGACAGGTCCTTTACACACCCTATATAAGTACCCAAAACTCCACAAGCTTACGGCAGAACCCCTCAACCCTTCGCACGAAGTCATGGCCTCCTGGGCCAGGCCTCACGGTGCCCAGGGACTGCGGGTCCCACTGCATCTCTTTCTAGGGGGGGAAAAAGTTGGGATCGCATAGTTGTGGTTGTGGGTGCAGGGACGGGGAACTTTTTAGGCTTGAAGGGAAAGGAACATCGAAGCCCCACCCCGAACCTTATTGGAACCAAATAAACCTGCGATCTTCATGGTGCTGAGTGTGGTGGTCACGGCTCCCTGCACCGCCTGCGCAGAGAAAGGCCACGACTCGCAAGGACCTTGGCCTTCGTGTTTTTTTAGGGCTTCTGGGATTTATCGGCCTCCCTCACCATCTTTCAGCCAGCCCATGCGCCGGGGGCGAGATGGCTCAAAGAGGCTCTAAATTAAGGAAATTTCGGAGTGTTTGTATTTTGTGGTCGATAATATTTTCTAATTTATAATGTAATTGCTATTACATCATTATGGGGTTATATAGTGCTATTTGGTGAATCCATTGCTCGTCGTTTTGGTTAATTGCCTGGAATTTATACAAAAACCATGCATGGGTATGCTAATAATACCAATGGCTCTTGTGACATAGAGAATATTAATCAACACAATTTGCATTCTGATGATTGTCGAGAATATAGGTAGAGAGAGGTCGTTCAGGGGTAGCATTGTGGTGTGAGCTTTAAAATTGAGGGAGGTGCAGGGTCGAGAGCGCCATGGGATTGGGGCCGGTTGAGGCTGGAGGGCTTCCGGGAACGGGGGCTGATGCTTGGATTTGTCTACCCCCTCGTTTGACAAGTCTGAGCCACATGCAGCACCAGAGAGAGCGTGAAAGCATCTCTGACTGCCCTTCCCTTCGGTGGGTGTTTGGGATTCTCAAGTAGAGGCGGAGGGCACCATCTGGCGACGGAGGGCCATTCACTCACTCACTCACACATGCACACACCCACGCGCGCGCTCTGCACCTTCAAGTCAATGCTGGCATGCGCACACCACACGCAACGTGCTCTTCCGGAGGATGCATGCCCAGGGTTTTGAGGGGTTCGTGGCCCTAGAAGGCTGCAGCCTGATCGCACACCTTTCAGACCTCGAAAAAGTCACGCCTGCTTTTCGGCATTCCCATTGGCATCCATTGGCGGGCATGGGTGAAACGGCCTACAGCTGCACACCCCCAAACACAATCGGCCCCCACATCGGTCCTCAAAGGTTGGAGAAGCTCGAGATCAGCATACAATGTACTCCACATGTACCAAGACTTGTGCGCACCAACAGCCCAGGGAAAAAACCACGCGTGGGAGAAAAACCCTGGGCCTCAGGAACGGCGTGAAGCGCCTTTGGAGCCTTCGGCGCTCTCAGCTGGCCGAGGTGGCTCGTTGTACATCTTGTACCCTCTTGCAAGTCTATCTTAGCCTCGAATCCTGCGAAGACCAGCTCAGCGCACCAGGCTCTGTCGAGTCCCAACAGCATCCTACGTGCGAAGGTGGTTCCCGCAAGGGCCACTGCCCAACGACCTGCTTTGCTTCGGGGGGGGGTTGGGAAGGCTTGGTGCTTGCAACTGCAACTCAGCAAAAAAAAACACCTAATTCTCTGACTGATCAGCCGAGATAAATTGTGCGACCCTTAAGGCGCTTGGAACCGCAGCCTCGCCACTGAGGAAGAAAGGACCGATCATCCGGCGAATTGGCCCTCAAGGGGCCGGCTGCCAATTCGAGTGGCATCTGTCACGCCCCCCTGTGTCTGATAGTGTTGAGTAAATCATAGTAAATCACATGTCGGCCAAATTCAAGCAGCCTAGCGGCCGAGCGTGCAGTGCAGATGCCAGCAATGCGCGGAGACTGTGTGCAGCGGCGCTCACTCCAGATTTCGCCGCCGCCAGCTTCCTGGCAGCGTTGCTGAAAGCAAGTAGAAAAACAGATGTTGAAGAAAGGAGCATTTCGCTGCAAACCGTACCTACATGCACATCGAACCGGAAACGGAAACGTCAGCAAGCACGGCCCCCGGCGCCTCGATTCGATGAAGCGGAGACCTGCAACAACGCAGCGAGCCACGACGATCCACACCCAAAACCCCCCCAAGAGACCCCAAGAAAGGAGCCTTCCTGAGAGTGAACCCCACCTCTGCCTACAAGAACTCTGGAGGTTGGCCCACCTCTGGCAAAAAAAAACCCGACCCCCCCTGATGCACAATGAGAAGGAGCCCATGCTCACACCAGGGTCATACAAAAAGACTCCCACACAGCGAGCCACGTCGAAAGCGCATCCTACATTCCACCACTCCGCTGATCTCCACTCCCGAACCCGGCGCCCAATCCTGAAACTCCGCCCATTTCCCACAAGAACTTACAGAGACCACACCCTGGGCCTCAGGAAAGGCGAAGGAGGCGGGGATCCTCAAAAAATGATCCTCTTCTCGGTGGCCGGGAGCGCCTCCAGGAGCCCGCGGATCTCCGTCTCTTCCTCTCTGCCTGTGGGGGCTCCGAGAGAGGGCTTTCGTTGAGGGGTCAGGTTCTCAAGCTTCAACTTTTGGGGGTGTTGGAGCACCATAAGAGGGGGCCTGCCCAAGAGAAGTATAATTAGAGAAGAGGGGAACAGGTCGTACTTTCAAGCCGGTTGCCACGATGAGCTGCAGAGTTTGGGGCTCCAGGCCCCCCCCCTGCCCTGCCCCGCGAGCCAAAACAGACCCACCCTGCACTTAGGCCCCGAATCCCTGAAATCGACCCTGCAGAAGTTTCAAAGAGCACTCCCCAGGGCCCCCGGGCCGAGGTCGTTGTTGAAAAGGTCCACGTATAGCTCCCGGAGCTGCGCGAGCCGGCCGAGGGCGCCGGCCACCGCGCGGGCAGCTTCCGGACCTTTTTTAGGAGAGAAAAAAGGCATTCCGAGGAAAGTCTACCACTCGGCTCCGATTCCTTGTGGTGGGGGGGGGGGGGGGGGGTGGGGACCGGGCGGCTGATGACGTGTAGGTCGGGAGGTCTCAGGACATGTTACATGTTCCATGCCGTGGTGCCGGGCTGAAGCGTTGAAGGCTTCGCTTCCGAGCCCAGAACTGGTCGTGCAGATCTTCTACGCCCAAGTCGTCTGCAACAATCTGGGGAAGAACTGAGACACGCCAGCCAAAAAAACATTGCTCTGCTCCAACCCCCAAGACTCTACATAAGCCCAAACCAAAGAGTATGAGTTCATCTCCTTTGAACCACCAATTGCGTTGAACGACCAGCACTCGCAGGGCCCCCGGGCCCAGCCCGTTGCCATCCAGAAACACTTTCAGTGTGCTCAGCCGGGCGAGCTGGCCCAAGGCGGCGGCGAGGGATCGGCCGGCCTCGGGGCCTCGGGGGCCAGAGGGGAGCAGCCTTTGGGGCTTCATCTATGTCCGTTGTGAGGGCCCGTTCCCTACAGCGCCGAGAGGTTCGAGGATTCCATGCATGCCGTGCATTCCCTTGCATTCCGAGCCGGCAGGGCCTGCGCAGTTCTACATCTTGGAATCCTGGAGCCGCGTCAGCCCCTGCCGGGCGCCGGGCCGACGTCGTTGTATTGCAGCCACAATATCAGGGACTCCAGGTGAGCCAGTTGGGAGAGGGCGCCGGACAGGCACTGGCCGCCTTTCGGACCTCGGGCTGAGGATCCGGAACTCTCCGGGCATGCTCTCTGTGGCTCGAAGCTCTCCCACGTACACAAAGCACGATGAAAAACCCCTCGGCCTGGATTTTCAATCACATTGGCAGATGCGAGGGATAGACAACCTTAATTTATGTCTACAAGTACAAGTCGTAACAGCAGTAGAATACCAAGAGCAGAGCAACAGGGTAACGATCACAATGTATTGATTGTAAGTCGAATATCCTGGAGTCCTGGAGCATCCTGGAGCCCTGTACGTGCTGGGCTCTTTAAAATTAATTACCTCTGCCCAAAAAGCCAAAAGATAGTAAACCCAACCCACCCCCACCCACCCCCCCTATAAACCTGCCTGCGAACCCCTAAACTGTTTTATGAACCCTGCCGATACCCCTGGACTTCAGCGCCTCAGGCTTCTTGAACGGCAATTCAAACGTCGACAAAAAGACGGGACTTATCCTTGCAAAAAAACGGGCGCAAGTCCCCCGCCTTTCAGGCTTCAAGATGGTGATTCTTGGGAGCTTGCGAGGAAGGCTTAGGACAGGACGTCAAGCGCCGAACCCTTTCGTGCCAACCTTCTTGAGTGCATGCATACTAGACTCACCTCACCAACACCATGAAGTCAGGAGCAGTCTGCTATAGTCTGCTTCGGGCTCCAGATATACAGGGAATCGCAAAATGGGCAATGTTTCCCCCCCGACCCCGAAGCGGCGAGCCCATGAGCCTGGCAGAATATGGTTTACTCGTTCGGCGAAGGCGGCAACTAAAGGACAACTGGAGTGAAAACAGGTACGCGTGCACCATGCAGGATTTCACCTGACAAGTTCACTCCCCTTTTCGCAGCGTTGGATGCATGCAACCCCGATCCCAAAGCCGACTCGATCAGATGCTCGAGCTCGACCAAGGCCGACATGGATCGACGATTCATCAGGGAAATCACCCCTGCTCTGTTGACACCTCAAAGGAAGCTGGATATGTTGGACCTTTTGGAGCTGCCATGACTAAAGGCTCCGGGTTTGGACCTGTGGGTTCGACTTTGGAGTCTCGCCGTTATGCTTCTTTTCGGAAGGGGAGATCCCAAAATTTCGGAGCCCATGCAGTTGCTGATTTGCGCTCAGGGCTCAGGGCTCAACAGAACGCTCCACAGTGTCTCTACAGATTGTGACTGTCGTTGTGGCTGAGGCGGGCGCCCACAGGTCCCTTCCCTCACTGCTTCTTCGATTTGTTCCAAAGTTAATTCCCTGCTTCCTTGTCACATCTTGCTCAGAATCTTTCTCCAACTTACTCGGGATTTCGTGAGCGGTGCTTCATTCTTCCTCCGACCTTGGAACGTGCTTGGAACGTCCCCCCCTTCCGCGACCCCCACACCAACCCCCGAGGTCCTTCAACCTTCCGGGGCCCCCAGCCGAGCTTGTTGCCGAAAAAGTTCAGGGTCAGCTCCTGGAGCTCCGCGAGTTGGCCGACGGCGCCCAGCCAGCGGCCCCCCTCCACGCCTCGGAGAAGTCTTTCACTGGGAGTTCCTGTAAGGAGCTCCTCGGCTTACAAACTTTGGAGGGTGTGATAATGAAAAAATCAGCTTGAAAGACTTGGTGGGCTTCAGGAGCCCTTTAAAGGGCTGAGGAGGTTTCGAGAGTCTAGAGGACCGCGTTGAGGAGCGCTGGGACTTCTGAAACGAAAGGAGCACGAGGAGCCCAGGGAAGCCGTCGAGAAAAATAGAGGCTTGACAAGTTGAAGACCTTCAACTGTTTGTTCAGGGGCTCAACAAGGCACGGAACAAGGCCCGAACCCGGGCTGCTTGGGCATGCCCGGACATTGGGATGGCCCGCGATGTTCCCATGGACCGGCCTCCTAAGTCCTTCCGAAACGGCCGCGGCGGGGGGCTTCAGTTCAAGGGGGGGACATCAGGCGGCCAAATCCTCCAGAACTGCGACAAAAAATGTTGCAACGCTTGCGTGCGCCTCACTGCGTGCGGCATGGGACGCTATTATATCGTACCTATTCATAAAGCCTTCGCCGCCTCGGGCTCCTTCCAACCTTTGAAGAGGATGCCTTGCAAAAAGCGGGCGGCTCTCCACCCCTTTTTGTTATGAAAGAGCTGCCTGAGCTAAGGGCACTGAGGCCCCGGGCCGACGGAGTTGTTGCGCAAGTCGAGGCTCAGCTTCTGCAGACGGGGTATCTTGTCCAAGCCGCCAGCGAGGTGCTGGCAGCCTGTGTCGCCTCGGGGCGCCGCGAGCGACACGCGAACTTCAGAGGAAAAAAACTCACGCACAACGAAACACAGCGGCGGTTTTTCCGATGCACCGGGCTTGAAGATGGCGATTCTTGGGGGCTTGCGAGGGCTGCTTTGGATGAAGAAATTGGACAATTGCAACCTGAAGGCCCAGGACAGGACGTCAAGCTCCGAAGCCATTGCAAGCCCTTTCACGCAACCTTTTTGAGTCTCAGAGCCGATGCGCTCACGTGCAGCTTAGGGATCTCTCAGCTTGCCCCACCCACCCCCCTCCCATGCGTTGCATGATGGTACGTGTCAATTGCTTTCTGGGATTGGAGCCCCCTCGACACGCTCCCTCGACACGGTAAGCCATGCATGCGTGGAATGCAGGACAAAGGCCGGGGGCGGGCGATGCTCCATGCCAGAAGCCCGAAGGGAAAAAAACTCAGCTGAAGCTCAACCACGTCGAGCACCCAAGTCTTTGACGTGTCATCGAATGCCTATTCCCTGCAAAGCCCTCAGCCCTCACCCCCTCAACTCCAAGTAAAATTCAACCTCCAACGTTCGCCCTGGAATCCCACAGAACATCAGAACGCCCCCGACTCGCTACTCGCTTGACAGGTGAAAGAAGGAATGTTTCAGACAAATCTCCGGAGATTCTTGCGAAATGGCGTTTGGAGACGTGCAACTCAAACGGGTTCATGCGGGGCGGCAGCTTAAGCCATACCTGGCATCTTGCATGCATAAGTCGCCGGACCAGAGTCGCACGCAGAAGTCGGGGCCCATGACATCGGACATGCTCGGGCATGCTCGGACTCTCGGTCTACTGGAAGCGGCGAGGCTCGAAGCTTGGAGGCGCTCAGGGCTCCAACTTGGGCTTGAGAGAGTTTCGGGCTGAAGCCTTGACTTCGAGACATCAAGTCTCGGGCGCTAAACTGCCAAAAGCCCGGATTTTGAGTGAGGCCCCTGTTTGCAAGGATGATGCGCACGCCATGAGCTACGCCTGCCCCACCGGACGTTGGTTACTCAAACCGACATGAATCGAGAAGTGTACCGTTGATGGCCAGGGTTGGGGGGTTTTGCGGGCTGGGTTCCGCGTCCCCTCCTGGCATCCTAAACCTCAGGCACATGCGATGTCGCCCTAGGCTCCCGAACCTACAGGCAGCCTACAGGGCTTTCGGGGGTTTGGGGCGCTGTGCGAAACGTTTGGAAGTACTCGTTCGGCGAAGACGGCAACAAACAGGCAATTGGGGAGAGAACAGGTACGCGCGCACCCATGCAGGATTTCACCTGACGAGTTCACTCCGCTTTTCGCAGGCATTGGATGTATGCAAATCCCGAGCCTAAAGCCGACTCGATCGGATGCTCGAGCTCAACCAAGGCCGACATAGATCGACGATCCATCAGGGAGATCACCCCTTCTCTCTTGACACCTTCAAAGAAGCTGGATACGTTCGACCTTTTGGAGCTGCCATGTCCAAAGGCTCCGGGTTTGGAGCCTCGAATGCTCCGGGGGTTCGACTTTGGAGTCTCGCCGTTATGCTTTTTTGGGAGGGGAGATCCCAGATTTTGGCTGATTTGCAGTCTGGGGGGGGGGGGGCCGCCTGAAACCCTTAGGGCTCAACAGAATGATCTACAGATTGTGAGTCTCGTTGTGGCGGAGGCGGGCGCCCACAGGTCCCTTCCCTCACCGCTTCTTCGACTAATTTATTCGAAAGTTCATTCCCTGTTTCCTTACTCAACATCTTGCTCAGAATCTGTTTTCCAACTTAATTACTCGGGATTCCCTGCGCGGTGCTTTCATTCTTCCTCCGACCTTGGAACGTGCTTGGAACGTCCCCCCCTTCCGCGACCCCCACACCAACCCCGAGGTCCTGCAACCTTCCGGGGCCCCCAGCCGAGCTTGTTGTTGCGAAAGTTCAGGGTCAGCTCCTGGAGCTCCGGGAGTTCGCCGACGGCGCCGCCCAGGCAGCGGCCTCCCTCCACGCCTCGGAGAAAATCTTTCACTGGGAGTTCCTGTAAGGAGCTCCTGGGCTTACAAACTTTGGAGGGTGTGATAATGGAAAAAATCAGCCTAAAAGACTTGGTGGGCTTCAGGAGCCCTTTAAAGGGCTGAGGAGGTTTCGAGAGTCTAGAGGGCCGCGTTGAGGAGCGCTGGGTGTTCTGAAACGAAAGGAGCACGAGGAGCCCAGGGAAGCCGTCGAGAAAAATAGAGGCTTGACAAGTTGAAGACCTTCAACTGTTTGTTCAGGGGCTCAACAAGGCACGGAACAAGGCCCGAACCCGGGCTGCTTGGGCATGCCCGGACATTGGGATGGCCCGCGATGTTCCCATGGACCGGCCTCCTAAGTCCTTCCGAAACGGCCGCGGCGGGGGGCTTCAGTTCAAGGGGGGGACATCAGGCGGCCAAATCCTCCAGAACTGCGACAAAAAATGTTGCAACGCTTGCGTGCGCCTCACTGCGTGCGGCATGGGACGCTATTATATCGTACCTATTCATAAAGCCTTCGCCGCCTCAGGCTCTTGCCAACCCTGGAAGAGGATGCAAACGGGCGGCTCTCCTCCCCTTCTTGTTATAAAAGAGCTGCCTGAGCTAAGGGCACTGAGGCCCCGGGCCGACGGAGTTGTTGCCCAAGTCGAGGCTCAGCTTCTGCAGACGGGGTATCTTGTCCAAGCCGTCGGCGAGGTGCTGGCAGCCTGTGTCGCCTCGGGGCGCCGCGAGCGGCACGCGAACTTCAGAGGCAAACAAAACTCACGCAGCAAAAGACACAGCGGCTGTTTTTCCGATGCACCGGGCTTTAGGATGGTGATTCGAGGCTGCTTTGGATGCAACAATTGGACAACCCGAAGGCCCAGGACAGGACCTCCAGCTCCAAACCCATTGCAAGCCCTTTCAGCTCTTTCATGCCGACCTTTTCGAGTCTCAGAGCCGATGCGCCCAAGCGCAGTTTAGGGACGGCTTGCCCCACCCACCCATGCGTTGCATGATGGTCCGCGTCAATTCGGGATTGGAGCCCCCTCGACACGCTCCCTCGACACAGAAAGCCATGCATGCGTGGAATGCAGGAGAAAGGCCAAGGGCGGGCGATGCTCCACGCCAGAAGTCCGAAGGGGAAAAAACTCAGCTGAAGCTCAGCCACGTCGGGCACCCAAGTCGTTGACGTGTCATCGAATGCCTATTCCCTGCAAAGCCCCTAGCCCTCAGCCTCTCAACTCCTAAGTAGTATTCAACCTCGACCGTTCGCCCTGGAATCCCACAGAACCTCAGAATGCCCCCGACTCGCTTGACAGGTGAAAGAAGGAATGTTTCAGAAAAATCTCTGGAGATTCTTGCGAAACGGCGTTTCAAGACGTGCAACTCAAACGGGTCCATGCAGGGTGGCCGCTTATAAGCCATACCTGCCATCTTGAATGCAAAAGTCGCCGGACCAGAGTCGCGCGCAGAAGTCAGGGCCCATGACATCGGACATGCTCGGGCATGCTCGGACTCTCGGTCTACCGGAAGCGGCGAGGCTCGAAGCTTGGAGGCGCTCAGGGCTCCAACTTGGGCTTGAGAGAGTTTCGGGCTGAAGTCTAGGCTTCGAGGCATCGAGTCTCGGGCGCTAAGCTGCCAAAAGCCCGGATTTCGAGTGAGGCCCCTGTTTGCAAGGATGATGCGCACGCCGCAACCGTCACCTACCATGAGCCACGCCTGCGCCACCGGACGTTGGTTACTCAAGCCGACATACATCGAGAAGCGCACCGTTGATACCCAGGGTTGGGGGGTTTTGCGGGCTGGGTTTCCGCGTCCCCTCCTGGCATCCTAAACCTCAGCCACATGCGATGGCGCCCTAGGCTCCCGAACCCTACAGGCAGCCTGCAGGGCTTTCGGGTTTGGGGCGCTGTGTGAACGTTTGGGAGGGTGAGGATATGGAGGTGTCTTGTGGCTCTCGCAACTTGGATGATACTCCGTGGCATCCGAAGCATGGCAAATCAGATCAGCCCGACAAGAACACAATTCAGCATGCTTCTATTAAACACCATGAAGTCAGGAGCAGCCTAAGGCATCGCACAAAAAAAGTGGCGTGCCATAGGCACCCATTGGTTCCGGCAATGTTCCGCAGCTACCTATAGGTTTTCGCTCGACATCGCGCTCTCGCCTAGGCGCCGCTGCGCCAATTGCGTTCCCCCCACCCCCCCTACCCCGAAGCGTCGAGCCCATGAGCCTGGCAGAATATGATTACTCGTTCGGCGACCACGGCAACGAAAAAACAGTTGGGGAGAGAACAGAAAGTACGCGCACACCATGCAGGATCTCATCTGACAAGTTCACTCCGCTTTTCGCAGCGTTGGATGTATGCAACCCCGAGCCCACTGCTCAAGCTCGACCAAGGCCGACATAGACCGACGATTCATCAGGGAAATCACCCCTGCTCTCTTGACACCTTAAACGAAGCGGGATATGTTGGACCTTTTGGAGCTAAAGGCTCCTGGTTTGGAGCCTCGAACGTTCCCGGGGTTCGACTTTGGAGTCTCGCCGTTATTTCTTTTTTGGAAGGGGAAATCCCAGAATTCGGAGCCCAGGGGCTGATTTGCTCACCGCGGGGGCCGCCTCGGGGCTTCACGGAATGCTCTACAGATTGTGAGTCTCGTTGTGGCTGAGGCGGGCGCCCACAGGTCCCTTCCCTCACCGCTTCTTCGATAAATGCATTCCAAATTTCATTCCTTTTTCCTGACGAAACATCTTGGGCAGAATTGTTTTTTCCTGACTCGGGATTCCGTGAGCGGCGCTTTCATTCTACCTCCGACCTTGGAACGTGCTTGACTTCGAAGGCCCCCACACCAACCCCGAGGTCCTGCAACCTTCCGGGGCCCCCAGCCGAGGTTGTTGTGGGCAAAGTTCAGGGTCAGCTCCTGGAGCTCCGGGAGTTGGCCGACGGCGCCGCCCAGCCAGCGGCCTCCCTCCAGGCCTCGGAGTAATCTTTCACTGGGAGTTCCTGTAAGGAGCTCCTGGGCTTACAAACTTTGGAGGGTGTGATAATGAGAAAATCAGCTTAAAAGACTTGGTGGGCTTCAGGAGCCCTTTAAAGGGCTGAGGAGGTTTCGAGGGTCTAGAGGACCGCGTTGAGGAGCGCTGGGTGTTCTGAAGCGAAAGGAGCACGAGGAGCCCAAGGAAGCCGTCGAGAAAAATAGAGGCTTGACAAGTTGAAGACCTTCAACTGTTTGTTCAGGGGCTCAACAAGGCACGGAACAAGGCCCGAACCCGGGCTGCTTGGGCATGCCCGGGCATTGGGATGGCCCGCGATTTTTCCCATGGACCGGCCTCCTAAGTCCTTCCGAAAACGGCCGCGGCGGGGGGCTTCAGTTCAAGGGGGGGACATCAGGCGGCCAAATCCTCCAGAACTGCGACAAAAAATGTTGCAACGCTTGCGTGCGCCTCACTGCGTGCGGCATGGGACATGCCATTATATCGTACCTATTCATAAAGCCTTCGCCGCCTCGGGCTCCTTCCAACCTTTGAAGAGGATGCCTTGCAAAAAGCGGGCGGCTCTCCACCCCTTTTTGTTATGAAAGAGCTGCCTGAGCTAAGGGCACTGAGGCCCCGGGCCGACGGAGTTGTTGCACAAGTTGAGGCTCAGCTTCTGCAGACGGGGTATCTTGCCCAGGCCGCCGGCGAGGTGCTGGCAGCCTGCGTCGCCTCGGGGCGCCGCGAGAGGCACGCGAACTTCAGAGGCAAACAAAACTCACGCACAACAAAACACAGCGGCGGTTTTTCCGATGCACCGGGCTTGAAGATGGTGATTCTTGGGGGCATGCGAGGGCTGCTTTGGATGCAGAAATTGGACAACCCGAAGGCCCAGGCTCGGCTTGCCCCACCCACCCATGCGTTGCATGATGGTCCGCGTCAATTCGGGATTGGAGCCCCTTTGACATGCTCCCTCGACACGGAAAGCCATGCATGCGTGGAATGCAGGAGAAAGGCCAAGGGCGGGCGATGCTCCGTGCCAGAAGTCCGAAGGGAACAAAAACTCAGCTGAAGCTCAGCCATGTCGAGCACCCAAGTCGTTGACGTGTCATCGAATGCCTATTCCCTGCAAAGCCCCTAGCCCTCAGCCTCTCAACTCCTAAGTAGTATTCAACCTCGACCGTTCGCCCTGGAATCCCACAGAACCTCAGAATGCCCCCGACTCGCTTGACAGGTGAAAGAAGGAATGTTTCAGAAAAATCTCCGGAGATTCTTGCGAAACGGCGTTTCAAGACGTGCAACTCAAACGGGTCCATGCGGGGCGGCCGCTTATAAGCCATACCTGCCATCTTGAATGCAAAAGTCGCCGGACCAGAGTCGGGCACAGAAGTCGGGCCCATGAAATCGGACATGCTCGGACTCTCGATCTAGTGGAAGCGGCGAGGCTCGAAGCTTGGAGGCGCTCAGGAGAGGCCTCAATGATGTCGAAAGCTCAGCCCCGGGCGGAGCGCGTTGCTTTCTAGTTTCAGGCTCAGCTCCTGAAGCTGCTGGCCGAGAGCACCGCCCAGGACACGGGCTTTGTCTGGGCCTCAGTCAACCCCGAAGCTTCCATGCCATGGCCAACCAGATCCGAGGCTTCGGTATCAGGGACTCCTGAGTTTTTCAACATTGAGCTCTAAAACTTTGATCAGAGCGAAAGCCTTGACGAGCAACAAGTTTAAACCTAAAAGGTCAAAGCTCTGAAGCCATCATGATGGACTGTGCCCGGAGGATAAGAGATGCCGAGCCCACATTGCCCGCACCCCGGCCATCCCGGTCCCATCCCCGGATTCCAAGGCAAGGGCCCATCCGCTTGCCCTGGAAGTCCAGCTCCAGCTCGTGTGCTCGCAGTAGCTGATGCAGCCGTTGCTCCAGGTGCTCCCAGCTCTCGCCCCAGGACTCAGGGAAGGATCAGCGTCTGTCTGTCAAAGCTTAGTGTATGTGTATATCTGTACATTTCTTTAATACATACTGGAGACGTCATGCAGACGCGCGTGCGATCGTGTGCGAAACGTGTGCGAAACAACCGTCGCAGGCATCGCACGTTGACTGCAAGCCTGCATTAGCCTCAGGAGCTCCACGTGGGGGTGGGACACGTCGCAGGCCACCTGCTCGCCACTGCCGAGAGCTGCCGGTAGCTAGAAATGCTAGCCAAAGCACTGAATCGAGCATCAAGTTCATGGACTCCGCAGACGGTGCAGGCAGGCGCAGGCGTCCCGCCTGCTTCTCCTGCATCGCCCTTGCTATTGCCAGCGCGGCCACGCCGACGTCGGCCTCGGAGAGATCCATCCGAGCCAGCGTCGTGTTCGACTGCAGTGCCTGCATCGGAGCCATTCAGAGCTGGCCTCCCCTTCGGCTGCGAGTCTACAACGACGCAACTCCCTCCCGCAGCGGCAGCTGCGACCCACCTTCAGCAGCACAGAGGCGCCGCCCTCCGTGATCGCAGTCCCCTGAAGGCTCAGTCGTGTCAGCGTCGTGTTCTGCGTGAGCGCCTGCGATGCACAGCAACATAGCACTGCCTGAGAGCGAGACACAGAGAGCGAGAGAGAGAGATAAATAGATAGATAGATAGATACCAACTCGCAGGTGAGTCATTCCACGCGGCTATGGGCGACAATTGCCGGATGTCGGACCACAATCAGAGACCCTTCAGGACCTCCCAAGCCACGCCCCAAGCACCGTCGTTGCTCAGCGTGAGCGTGGTGAGCGTCGAGCAGAGGCAAAAGGCCTGTGCCACAATTTTGCCCTTGGGGCTTCAGGGCATGTCAGTGCTGTCAGGGGGGAGGGGCAAAGGCCGGCTGCAGGGCTCAGGCTGAACTCTGACTGAACCTGCACGCTGCGCTATGACCCCTTCGGTAAGCTGCCATATATAGGAAGTGCACGTGTGGGTCAACAAGAAGGGGAGGTTGCAGCAGGCAGCTGAAGGAAAGGAATCCGGGCACCTCTGGACCTTCAAATCGCACCCCACAAACTCCTCTATTCAATGTGAGGTTTGTGGTTTGTATGCACAGCAAGTTCACCCTGGTGTCACCCTTAACCGAATCCTCGCCACGCCATGCGTCAACCTGGGTGAATGTGGTTAGGTTTTTGCGCGATTTTGGGATTGCCACCCCTCCCACCGCATGGTTTCTTTAGGCAAAGTTTGGAAATGTGAAAAATGTCACGGTCAACAAAAACCAGGGCAAGACACATTGTCAAAAATCTTGGGGGTTGACTGTAAGGGCGCCAGCCGTGTTAAGGGCTCCACCAAGTTGGTTCCTGTCCCTAAGTCCCAAAGCCTACTCTGTTTCCAGACGGCAAAAAACAATGTTTCGTCCGCAGCCGTTGCCACAGGGGAGGTAGCCGGTAGAAGTAGGGAGGTTGCCCAGCAGCCCAGTGGGCACGCCAAGCACCCTTCGGAGGACGGGTCTACGGCGCCCTTCCCAGGAACCCGAAAAAGAGGGCGACTGCACAAGGGCCTCCGCGAGCTGGCGGGCGCCTTCCTCAAGGAGGCCGACGTGGTCCAGCTGGAGCGTCGCCAGCGCCTTCGCCTCCAGGACCTGCCAAAAAAGGGGCGGGGGCACCACGCGGGAAGCTCCAAACCTGCCCAGAACAGAACCCTGGAGAGCTGCCATCGCTCATGCTCGCCGCCTGCAGCAGCTGCGGAAGGTTGGGTGTGAGGACGCTGTGCAGGATGGCCAAACTCCTGGAATAACGATGTCGGAGCAGAGAAGGGGGAAAAACAAAAATAGAAGAGGAGACCCAAACAGACGTTACAACTGATACGAAAAGTAATTAGTCATGCACTGCTTGCCTGGCGAGGCTCTCCAGCTGCGGGTACCGGTCCAGAGACGTCAGCCCTACGGCTAAGGCATCGGCGCTGAGATTTGAAAGCTTGAGCGCTTTGCAGCTCGCCGCCTTCTCTTCGAACACGCGCCTCTGCAATTGCATCACCGCGTCGGCGTCGCTCCGATGGGTGAATATAAGAGTGTCCCCTACGGTGGCTCGGAAGGTGTCGGGGTCCATCGGAGCGACGCCCGCCTGGTCCGACTCGGAGCTGTCCACCTCTTGCGACCGGTTGCTCTCGGATCGCGTGGAGGACCACTGGAGTTCGGCAACACACCACCCCCGCTGGTGGTACGCAGTGCGGTTTTGAATTAGGTCAGCCGCCAACACCGGCTTGACGTGACCGCTGCGGAGGTCGTAGACCTCAACGAGCTCTCCGTGACACCATGCATCCTTAATTCGCCCCTCGGGGGTGAGGCTCTCGACGCGCAACGTATGAGTGTGCTCATGCGCATAAAGAACGTGCATGTTCTGCATGGCGCGCCTGAAGCTCTCTTCCTGCGTTTCGTCGAGCCTCTTAAACTGGAAAAGTGAGACGTAGTCCACGAACAAGCAATCCTGCCCCCGCAGCTTCCCTGACGTCGCAAGCTTTTGCAACTGGAAGCCGTAGGGGTCAGGATGCTCGCGCGCCTCCCAAACGTGTGAAACGGACACGATCCTCCCGATCTCAGTCTGCTCTCCCCTCGCCCAGCCCAGGACCTCGCCAGCAAAGAGGCGGAAACACAACCCTGGTAAGAAAGACCAGCCTTCACTCCGCCCCCCCCCCCACCCCCGCACCTCCTCGTGCGTGACCAGCGCGGTGCGGCTCCCAGCGTAGGCGTACTCGGCCTCCTGGCGCCGCGGGAGGCGCCGGCCTGCGCAATGTGGCAGAAGCGGGGAGAATATAACTGGGGCAGAGCAGAAGGAGAGCATCAAGCGAAGAGGTGAGGAGGCGGAGCCGACGACCTTCGCGGTGGAGTTTTTGCAGGAACTCGACGCGCACCTCGGCGGGCCATTCATGCCCGGTAACAGCTGAGGGCTCTCTCTGATTTCAGAAGGGGGGACAAGCAAGGGCTTTGCTCCAATGATCCGCGGCACCAGGCGGATGTTCGCCTTCTCCAGGAACTGCGCCAGCTGCATCTTGTCCTCGAGGTCGTACTTGTCCGGCACCAGCGCCTACTCACGGGGACTCTGCCCCCTGTCCCGTGGACAGCTGCATTTGGAAGGGGGAGCCCGGGGCCTCCTCAACCTCCTTCGCCTCGCAGGCCGGGCTTGGGCCCAAGCAGCGCGCCAGGGTCTGGAGGCTCAGCGCACCTCGGATTGTGGAAAAGACTCCGAATCTAGTGTACACGTCTACATGACGTGTAGCATATAACTAGTTTCTCATTTTTCATTTTTCTTCTGAGGCCCCAAAACACGGGATGTGATGTGGGATGAGGTGGGCGACTGGGCGCCCAGCTGTCGGCAAGGGCTCCTTGCAAGTGGGCCTGGGAGTTTTTAGGACAGGAGCGGCGATGGGCCACGCGCAATGATCGCTTGGCTCGCGCCTGAAGCTCCTCCGTGGTGACGTTGCTGCCTCACGTGACCCATGCACATGATCAGATGAGTCCGATCGGCATGGCATGTCTCTCCTCTGTACAGCCCTGCACAACCCCTACGCAGACCAGCTCCCCGCCTTGAAGGCCCCGAAGGATGCTGCAGATCTGGGCGTCCGTGGAGATCCGCTCCTTCGCCGGGTCGTTTGCCGGCGGGTCGACCTGGCAATTTCAAGCTCGTTTCCCGAAGCAGCCCCACCACATGCCACATTCAGACACTTGGCTTTTGGGAGGTGCAAGGAAGCGATCATCAGACTTGCACAATATAACTTCTGTAAATCGGAGGCGTTCCGAAGATGCCTGCTTTCTCCAAGGCTTCGCTACGTACGCGACACACCTGTCATGGTCCGTGACACAATCCCTCTCCCCAGCGGCACCAAGGGGATCTCGGCGGTCATCAGCAAATCTGCCAGCTGCTTCTTGAAGCTCAGGCTATGGTGCTTCACCTGACACAGATGCCGCTGAGTCCAGGTGAGAGCACCATGCACGTGATATGTGCTCGCATGCAACTTCTTTCATTCAGAGTCTTCATGTCACCTAAATCTGAAACCGAACTGAAACAGCATGCCTTTTTGAGAACTACGTACGAGCACTGTACGAGCCCTATGAAGGCTCCCAGCCCAAAACTGACGCCCGGCTCACCAAGCCCCCACCCCTCCTCCGCAGCAGCTGCAGCACTCTCCGCCTCAGGCAGGCTCAGCGGCTACCGGCCTTTTGTACCGCTAAGGGGCCTTCAGCACCACCACCCTGCCCCCATCCTCCTGTGATCCTGCGTCCCCGAGACCTGCGACCTGTCACGTGTGTGCGCTTGTGTGCTTGGGGCCCCCTGCGGCCAGCCGGCCCCGCAGCATCGCGAGCTCCTGGGGTATTGACGGCATTGAGGCGCAGCACACAGCATGGGTCCGGCCCTTGCAAAGCAAGCACTCATGATCCTCTATCTCTATCATTGTCGCGAAGGGTTATTCAACCGCACCATGGGCTGTCCGAGGTCTCCTCCTTCAGGGCCGCATTCTTGCGGCGCAGCGACTGGGCGCCGGCGCCCGGCACCCCAGAGCGGCCGCGGAGCCAGGCCAGCATGAAGCTCTCCGGGACCTGGCAGTTTCGAGGTGGGAGCATGTCCCCTCAAACAACTTCGGGGCTTTCCGCGGGACACACGTGTGGAATCACGCAGGCACTTCCGGCCTCGGGCATCTCGTCGAGAAGAGAGCTCAGCAGCTCCGTGGTGACGGGGGTCAGCGTCTCCGCGATGTAGCGCTGCACTGCGGGCCCGGCATCGGAGCCCGGGTCGGAGCTGCTGGCCATGGGATCCATCGGAGCTGCAAGGTGCAACTTTCAGATACACAAGCTGCCAGGAAAAGAGAGCTGTTGAACTCAGAAACTCTTCCACCTTCAGCCGCCAAGTATGTTGAGAGCTCCGCGCGCAGTACTGGTGTGAAACCTCCTTCTGCAGGGCCTTCTACATGTAGTATGTGGTACAGTTTTTAATACCTCTAAAACACAATATTTTTGTTTTTTTGCAGATATATATATATATATGTATATATATTTTTCTATGTATATATACTGTCGATGCCCTGATCTCTTGTGCGGCAAGCTCCTTGAATCCTGGGGCTCAGAGCCTTGAGGCGCCGGTCCGGTGGTGTGGGCAGTGGGCATCTGTTGCATGGGCCAGAAGGGAGGGATTCGAGGGGACTTCAGGGGGTGGGGGTTCGTAGAGCTTGGGGCCCCTTGCTTCAATAAGAGGCGGCTGGGAGGGGGGGGGTCCCTTTTAGAGCTGCTCCCGAAAGCTCTACGTGCGACAAAGCTGGTGGGACAGAACATTTTAACACTTCCACTCCAGGCCCCTTCACTCTCGGCCTTCTTTTGCAGCGCGGCGTACAAGTCTCGCGCGGGCGGCTTTGAAGAGAAAGGTGAAACCTTCAGCTCGAATCTCAAGCCCGCTTCTCTATGTGTGCCCGTGTTCCCACAAATGCCGCAACGTGCCACGACCCAACAGAAACCGGAGAGCCCTCCGATCGCCCTACAACGTGTCCGGCTGCCACCTCAAGTGGCGACCGTGCCCTTCAATGCCTCTGTATTCAGCAGGCGGGCACCTCCTCTTGATCCGACACTCTGACTGCTGTTCTGCCATGCGATTCCTCGCAGGCAGTCTCCAGCGCCAGCGGTAGCGAAACGTGTGCGGCGGGCCCTCACTCCAGATCTGCCGCCAAAGCTTCCTGGCAACATTGTTGGAGGCAGGTGCTGGGCTCTGCAACCATCTTAATCAAAAGCAGCCCACGGGCAAGGGTTGAGTGCTCCCTGACCATAAAGGGCCACAAGCCCCGAGACCCGCAACGCAGCGCCCAATGACCCCCCCTTTACAAACCATAGCCCAGCTTGAAAAACCTTGTTTCGAAATCCCCTCACAAACAGTCAAGAAACGCGTCGGCGCCACCTCCCCGCCCCTCTCAGCCTCTTTTCAGCGGCTCAAAACAGAAGAAGTCTGGGGACTCCGAATTGTTGGGGGGGCTCGTGCCTGTGGCGTTCTGGAAGTTTTGTGGAGCTTTGGGGCTTGATGGGTTTGCTGATATGGAAAGCCTCAGTTGGGGGGGAGGTCTTTGGATTCAGACCTTGGCTCTGCAACTGCCTTTGAAGGTGGCTTGAGGCCTGGCAATCCGACCTTGAGCTTTCATGTCCCCCTTTTTCAAGGAGCCCAAACTGGGAGGACTTGTTGCAGAGAGTGTGATTGGTTGCGCGGGTGGTGGTTTCAGGGCAGGGCCAGCTTATGGGGATGATAGGGGCTTTGGAATTTGCATGATTACGGAGCGTATAGGGGCTTGGTTGAAGCCGCAGGCGGCCTCTACAAGCACGGGCAGCATCCCCGCCGAAATCGCACCGGTATTTATCCCCAGTTTGAGGCCTTGGCGGTTTGGAAGGCCTTCTCATATCTCCACATGGAGGCCAATCATCAAGTAGGAAGGGTCTCATTTTCCGAGCAGATTGTTCAACCGAACACCCCAGAAAAAGTCCAAGGCGCCGGGCCGAGATGGTGAGTCATCGCAGTTCAACGTTCAGCGGCCCCAGCGTCTCCAGCTCAGCCTCCGGGCCCTTGGACAAGGGAAGAAACACCTTCAGAGGGAACCGGCGCGCGCGCAAGCGCGCGCGCCGGGGAGCGAGATCCCCCTTAGAAAGACGTGTAACAGTCCTACCACGCGCGCGGCCGCATTCTCATGAGCGGCCTTGAGACGTCTGAGGGCCAACTATTCGGTGATTTGTTGGTGATTCTTCTTTGTGTCTTGAATATTGGACAGGAAACCCTTTTCGTGTGGGTAGAGCCCATCAACAGCCTATGCTCCGCTGTTCGCCGCTGTTCGCCCACACAAACCCAAAGCCCCTAACCGAAAGGGAAGCTTCCGAATCGAGTCTTGGAGGTACACAGGCTACACAAACTGTTGAGACACTAAACAGAAAACTTTTTTTGAAATCCGCCGAGGCCTCGGGCGGAGGTATAGGTCCCCCCACAGCCAAAGCCCTTTTTCGGACCCTTTTTTTGGCCTCAAATGGGTACCCGCCCCTGAAAAACCGGGGTCCGCAAGCGGACGGTTCGCCAGGACCAGAGGCAGTTGAAGCCCCTCCCAGCAGGGCTCTCAGCCCGTTCCCCCCACCCCCGCCACACCCCCCCTACCCTCCCCCCCCCCTACCCCCCCGCCCCGGCCCCCCCCCCCCTCACCCCCCCCCTCCCCCCCCCTCACCCCCCCCCCCCCCCCCCTGAAAAGTTCAATGGAGCAGTTTGGGATACACTTTCAGGTATCACAACATTCACAGCAGTGAGCAATTCATCAGTCACACTTGTTTCAGCACTTGAGCCAAAGCAGTGACGACAGCTTTGGTCAGATCAGGCAGTGAATACTGCCAGGGCTCTAGAGGGAACAGTGTATTCTAACACAGTCCCTTGAGTCAACACTTCAGTGTTCGACTCACATCAGTCGTCTCGGCCATTGCGAGAAACTCGGCAGCAGTATACTATCAAATCAAAACCATCACATATCGCAGTACACTCAACGAAAGCAGCAGTAACGAATCAGGCTCATCCAGTGCTTTTGCAAATTGCGAACAGTATCAGCAGCTGGCCTGTACAGTGCTGCTAGGTCTCACTTCAGCTTTGCAGCTTGCAAAACAGTCACCAAGACCAGTGAACAGTCGGCAGTTGCAGCTTACTCAACGACCAAGCCAGTTTCAAGGGCTCAGGGCTCCAGTGACTCTGCAGTCACTCTCCATCTTCAGTCGGAAAGGGTCCCCAGCTCAGAGGCCAGTCGAATGTCAGTGACATGGCATGAGTGGATACCCCCATCGACTATCTGCAGTTCACTGCAGTCTCTCACTCGGCTGGCGAGACAGTGATTGAGACTTGGTGGTCAGTCCCAATGGCTCGCCTCAGGCCAGTGACCACAGTGGTCAGAGCAGTGGCCTGTGCCTTGTCACCACCAGTGAATCCTGGCCTCCATGTGCCAGTGGGCTGGTCCTCATCAGTGATGAACTCTCCCAGCTGGATGGCAGTTGCCTCAGTCCAAACAGTCGCCCCGATGACGATGTGGCGACAGTTGCGATGCCAGTCAGCGGCAGTCGACCGAGCAAAGAGATCCTTCGGCTCCCAGTCGACCAGTGTCCAACGACGAACGGACACTCGCTCTTGCGCATTCAGTGTGAACGGCACCTCAGTGAGCCCGGGGTCAGTGGTCACGATGTAATCACTGTACCTGCGATTGAAAAACCGCAGTGTGCCTTCAGTGACCAGATCGATGAAATGCACAGTGGTGAACCGAAACGCCACCAGTGTCCACGTCTGCTCAGCAGTGTCAGTGGACTCCTCGGTCTGTGCCTGCCACAGTCCACGGCGCCACAGTGCGGCTCGAGCACTCATCGACAGATTGAACTGTCCAGCGTAAATCCCATGCAGTGAGAATTGCCCAGTCGTGAGCAATGTCTCCGCATCATCAGTGCGTAGGCAGATCCAGCAGTGCTTGGCCACCAGTGTCTCCAAGACACTCGTTGGGTGACCATTCTCACTTGTCAGTCTGCCAAACAGTGCAGCTTCCTCCCTCGTATACTCGCTGCTCCAGTTGACAAATGGAAAGAGATCCACAGTTTCTGGAACAGCATCCATCAGCAGATCAGTGCAGTCATACAGGAGGTTGAGGACAGCTGGAGGCAGTCTGATCCTCTCAGTCCCATCAGTCTGCGCAGCGAAGAAGCAGTGCATTCCACATGATGTGAGCACTTCCTGCACAGTGCACTCCAGTAGCTCCTTCTCATCTGCCGCTCTCTGCACCAGATCGCGCAGTTTGGCCAGTTCCTTTGCGAGCAGCAGTCGCAGATCAGCGAAGCTTTGCCAGTGGTTGGGGTAGCCTTCGACAGTTGGATACTCAGCATTTGACACCCAGTACCACCTGACAGTTCCTCCATGGAACAGTACCGGCGGCCGTTCAACCTGGATATGATCCAGTGGCCTCTCACTGACATTGAAGGGCCAGTTCGCCATTGTCACTTCAGGCACCTGACTTGCCAGTGACATGCGCTGTGTGGCTCCATTCAACTCAGTGGCCAGTCTGCCATTGTGAGTCGTCACAGCTCTTTGCTCGAGCTCAGTGATCTGGAGCATTGGCTCATCAGTGGCCAGTCTTGCCACATTTGCGATGGCATTCGACATGGCGGCAGTCTACAGAACAGTGAGGAAGCAGAGGGCAGTTAGGCAGTGACTTTTGAGTCGCTCAAAAACACAGCATGCAAAGCAGTGCAGCCCAAACTTCTATGCACAGTTTTCTTTCTACACATGACACATGTAAAAGACAGTTTTCCAACTTCGAAGAAAACAGTGAAAAATCGTTTCGAATCGACGAAAACAGTGAACGTGGTTCTCTCCTCTCAGTCGCTTCTTTCTGCACAACAGTACATGCACAACTGCACAGTGACACTCAGCACAAGCAGTGCTTTGCTTGCCAGTGCTCCTTGGGAGCAGTGCTTGTTTGTCTGTTTGTACATGCACAGTGAACAAGACAGTGACACACAACGCACACAGCACAGCAGTGTTGCTTATTTTTATGCTGCAGTGTTGTAAATCCGCAGTGCCTATGGCACGAGGCGTCCAGCAAACCAAAACAGTCCTGCAACCAACCCCAAACAGTGCATCAACCGCGGCGCATCATCACGAGCATCAGTACGCGGGCGCACACAAAGGGGGCACGCAAACAGTTAGAACAGGTTACTATGAACGCCTAAGCGTCCTTTCAGTGATGACAGTGTTTCAACGCTGACATATTTGGTGAGCAAATCGGCAGGGTTGTTCAGTGTTCCTACCTTCAGGACCTTGATCAGTCCAGCTTTCACCAGGTCTTGCATATAAAGGAACCTCAGTTCCACATGCTTAGTGCGCTTGCCAGCGCCGAAACGCGTCGCCATAGATTTGCCTGCAGTGGAATCAGTGTACACGTGAACATTGACCTTGCGGGTCAGTCCACTCTCCAGCAACAGCGCGCGAACGAACAGTGCCTCGCTCGTGCCTTGACCAATTGCATACAATTCAGCTTCACCACTTGACAGTGCGATTGTTGATTGCGTGCGTGCAGTGCTTTGAACATTACAACCAAGGACATTCACAGTCGAACCAGAAGTCGACTTGCGTGTCTTGTTGCATCCAGCCCAGTCACTGTCAACATACGCATTTACATCCACAGGGACAGTGGCTCCAGACAGCTGGTGCGTCGGTCTCAGCTTCAACACCGACAGTTTGGTACCAGACAAGTACCTCAACAGGTGTTTCAACTTTCCAACCGACTCAGTGGTGGGAGCAGTCACGTCGCGTGACAGTTCCTTCACCGCGTATGCAACATCAGGCCTTACAAACGCATACCATAGCAGTTTGCCAACCGCAGTGCGATACTTCTCATGGCCTTCTTTATCCAGTGGCTCAGGCATCACCTGTCTCAAGGATGACGACCCAGTCGTGGCAACAGGATTGCACTTCGACAGGTTGTACATTTCAAGCAGTTTGTCAACATACGACGGAGACATGCACACATCAATGCTATCACCGCAGTGACGCAAGCGGCGACCAAGAAACGTGTGCTCAGTCCCTTCGACCAACTCACCAGTGATCTTCACGATCAGCTCTTTCTGCAGTTCTTCAAGAAACTGCCGTTTGAGCTTGTCATCTCCAATGATCAGTAGATCGTCAACATATGCCAAGACAAACAGTGAACCACTTTCATGACAGTAAAGATTGCCATCGGACTTGCAGCGCTTGAACTTCAGTTTCTGCATCGTAGCGGCAAAATGGTCTTGCCACAGTTTAGGCGCTTGACGCAGCCCGTACATTGCCTTATTCAGTCGCCAGAGTACTTTCCTGTCAGGGTAGTACTCAGCTGGCGGCCAGACGAACACTTCGTCAGTCATTGCTGCGTGTAAAAACGCAGTTGACACATCAGCAAGCGTGATCGTCCAGTTTCGAGCAAGGGCCAAAATCAGCAACACACGCAGTGTCACCAACGACGGTGTGCTCGCGAACAGTGAATCCAGGTCCAGTTGGCGAGAGTCCTGGAAGCAGCCTTGAACTACGAGACGCATTCGCAGTTCTATGTCAGACTTCCAGCGCTTGACCCATTTCACGCCAATGGCACCCTTCACTTGCTCACTTGAGCAGTTCTCTACGGGCACTTCTGTATACACTTCGAAGTCCTTCATGGATCCCATTTCCTTATTCATGCCAGTTGCCTGTGCTTCTTCAGGAAACTCTTCAGTGGCATCCCAAATGATGGGGTTTGCCAGTTTCGCCTCGGCAACAGCTTCTTCTTCATCACAGTTCACTTCGACGGAAACAGACGACCCATCTTTGTTGCGAACCTCAGTTGCACTTGTCGCGGAAGCAACCCAGGACCAGTCATGCTGATAGGCTTCAGTTATAGCGGCAATTCTTTGCGCTTTGCCCAGTGGCTCAGCGTCAGCTTCAGGATCAGGGCGCGCCAGTTTTGCCTTAGGCTCAGCGCCTCCTTCTTCAGCTGATCTCTTGGAACCAGTGGGCGAACTCAAGGGTTCGACTTCAGCTTCACGTTCTTCAGACGCAGTTTGCGGCTGTGTTTCCAACACATCATCCATTGGCTCTCTAGCCAGTCCAGGCGGTTCTTTCACTCTGCCAGTGGCTGTGAGATTTTGTGGCAAAACAAACTCAGTGATCGCATCTTTGCCTTCACCTTTTGGATCCCAAGGCAGTGCGCGGAACATTTGAACAATCTGCTTTTGCCATTGCAGTGAGGGTTGCAGTCGACGGACAGTCCTCACTTTGGTGACTCCATGTTCAGTTCCGATGATCACTTCGTCTGCTTCAGTATCTCGACCAAGCCACATGCCAGTTACCCAGGACGGGAATGCTTTGCGCGCAGCGTGCGGTCCAGTCAACTTTGCTTGCACAACTTCGCCAAAGCAACACAGTCCTGAATTGTAGTCTCTCTGCCAACGACGCCAGTAGCTTGTGTGGCCATCCGCATGTTCAAGATAGCGGTTCAGCAAAAACTGAGCATGCTTCACTGCCCACGGGAACAGTGCATGATCAGATGTCACTTCAACGCCAGTGCTTTCTTGAAGCTGCAGAAGGACAGTTCTCAGCTGTGCGTACAGCGTCCTCTGCATCTGGCCTACGCTGCCCATCGCCTGCTTGTGAGTTGGGACCGGTTAGGCAGTGAAAACTGCTGATGCAGTCTTCGCCATACCTCGAAGCCATTCTCAGTGTCTTCTTGTCTGACAGTCGCTCTCGCAGCTCCCTCGGTTAACTGTGCCAACAGATAAAGCAGTTGACGACTGAACTCGATCAGTTTCATGTCTCGACTCGCATCGGTTCTTCGATTCCAGTCGATCACATGTTCGTCTGTGACAGCTTCAGTTAGAACCTCGCATGCATCCATGAGCAGCTTTGCTTCGGGCTTGTACAGTCCTATGCACTTCTTCATTTGCCAGCTCCAATCCTCATACTTATCCAGTGACCCATCAAATGACGGTGGGGGAAACAGTTTCACTTCACCTCCGAGACCTCTTAGTTCAGGGGCAGAACCTAGTGAAGCCATTCAAACAGTTTCGGGCACCTGGTTCTCACCAGTGTGCTCCGCTACCATGAAAAGTTCAATGGAGCAGTTTGGGATACACTTTCAGGTATCACAACATTCACAGCAGTGAGCAATTCATCAGTCACACTTGTTTCAGCACTTGAGCCAAAGCAGTGACGACAGCTTTGGTCAGATCAGGCAGTGAATACTGCCAGGGCTCTAGAGGGAACAGTGTATTCTAACACCCCCCGTCCCCCTCCCACCCCGCCTCCCCCCTCCCGAAGAGTCGCCTTAAACCTTAAGGGGCCTGGCTCAACCCTACGATCACTCCAAGCCGAACCCTAAACCCAAAAAAACCCTCAACCCCAAAGCGTGAACCTTGAGCCCTAAACTAACCCTCAACCCCACACCCCAAACCATAAACCATAAAGCCGGAACCCTCAACCCTCAACCCTCAACCCTCAACCCTCAACCCTCAACCCTCAACCCTCAACCCTCAACCCTCAACCCTCAACCCTCAACCCAACCCTTATTGCTTGGGGTCCAGCGACTTGGGCGCTGCGGAATCACCATGCTCACGCGGATGCGCTGGGCCGGGCCGAGGCGGGTCGCGTAGCGTTAAAATTATATTTGATGTTCTAAGACCCTAAAGGCCGCTAAAGGCGCCCCAGACCCTAAACCCAACACTCTGAAGTTCTTGCTCTATGGCTCTATGCTTGGAAGTCACAGTTCCGCCCATGCCTCGCGCGACTGACCTGACCCACCTCCGACTTGAGGGAACCAAAATTAGGGATGCACTGCGTTCCTGTGGATGATCTCCTCCAGAACCTGGCTGCCGTTCGTGGCGTTGGGCTCCCTCGGGCACGTGAAAGGGCGCGGCCCTCGTGCGGGGTCTGTCGGTCTTCATCGCCAGCACCGGCGAGATCAAGATTAAGAGCACTTCGAGCACGACTTGCTTCATTTGTCCAGGATTTCGCAGGATGCAAGTCACGAATCACGTGGAAGTCGAGAGCACGGATGCTGTGTGGCACGTGACCAGCACTTGAGCCACGAAATCGAGGAAACGGAAGCAGCACGCTTCAGCAATCCCAGGGGTCTAAATCCCCCCATAAATCCCCAAAGCCGCCCAAAGCCTCTCAAAGCTCCCCAAAGCATTTCCCACAACCGAAACTCATCTTGATGTAGCACACCCCCTGCCGATCTTTGGTTTGTGTGTGTCAAGGCTCAAGGCATACAGGGCTTTGACTCGGGCTCAAGATCCGGGTTCGCGGCATTCAGAGATCTGCCAGTTGCCGCATCACCTGCCCAAGCAGTGGCCGGGGCTGAGGCTTTCGAGGTTAAAGGCGGCATTCAAAATGCTTCGGGCTTGCAAACCCTAAACACGACACCCGGAACCCTTTTGCAACTGGCCAGCAATGTTGAACAATTCTCTGTCATCGAAAATGATCCTAGCAACAAACCTAACCGAGGAGCCTGCGCACCTAGTAGACACGACAGCACCGGCATCTGAGGATGCCTTGCACACGGGGTTTATTTAGGGTTTAGGGTTTAGGGTTTAGGCTTCCTTTAAGCGCATTCCGCCGGTTGACCAGACACAAACAAGGTTTCGGGAGTGGGTTTCTTTGCAACCCTGCAATTGTCCGCCTCCGTGAAGCCACGAATCTTCAAGTAGTTAGCAGTTCCCTAAGCTGTAAACCCTACCCCCTCGAGGCCCTACCAGACAGGCCCAGGAGCCCAGTTGTTCGGCAACTGGGTATACTGCAAGAGACCCCAACCCTCAAAACCCCTACACCCCATAGCCCCCAGATAAGTACAGAGTCATACTCAGGCATGTGCAGCATAAACGCTAATCCAGACCTCCCGGCAGGAACCTAAGAGAAACATCGGCAATGATGGCATTGCCTGATAGACCAGCACTCACAGGCGGGTCCAGCCCATTGCCGTCCAGGCCCACTTTCACAGAGAGGTTCGAGAATTTCCGTGCATCCCGTGCGTTCCAAGCTGGCTGGGCCTGCTCCCAGTTCGCATAATAAGAAATACTAATAATAGTACTAATAAAAATTAATAATAAGAAGAAGAATCATAAAATAAAAATACTAATCATCATCATAATCATAATCATAATCATAATAATCATAATAATCATAATATATATATATATATATACATATATATATATAGTAATAATAATACTCATCATCATCATAATCATAATAATCATAAAAAAACAATCATAATCATAATCATAATCATGATCAAAATCAAAGTCATAATAATAATTATTGTTATTATCATCATAAGCGCTCCGAAGTTGCCTGTAGTGCAGGCGCACCTCCAAGACCTCAAGCTGGGCCCGTTGGCCGAAGGCGGCCTTTGGACCTGGGGCTGAACGTCGTCTGCGGAACTCTTAGGGTTTAGGGTTTAGGGTTTAGGGTTTAGGGTTTAGGGTTTAGAGTTTAGGGTTTAGGGTTTAGGGTTTAGGGTTTACGGGTTCGGGGTGCTCCAGTGCGCTCTCTGTGGCCCGAAGCTCTATATAGAGGGATAGAGTAGCAGGTATCTATGCCGTTGGAGGACGTATTCTGAAATGGCTCCTCAACTAAAATCTTTCTGGGTAATCCGGGGAATATGTGCTTAAGGATCTGGTGCTGGAAAACTGCAAAACCGAAAAGTTCGGGGTTTCGAGGGTTTTGTTGGACGTTGAGGAGCGATGGGAATTGATAAACGCGAAAAAGGAGCCCCATGGAGCTTCTGACATGTTTAAAATCTTGCACGGACTTCAACCTTCCCCCCCCCCCTTCTGAGAGTATAGGGTTAAGGGTTTCGGGTTTTGGGTTTAGGGGAACACGCTCCGAACCTTCTTGACCTGCGCACCTGGTATTAGCCCTATGAACCTTATCAAGCTTAGACCTTCTAAACCCCTAAAGCTGAAACCCCTCCCCTAAACCCTAAACCCTAAACCCTAAACCCTGAACCCTAAACTCTTAAACCCCAAGCCCCAAAGCCTGACCCTGTCACGGGGTTTGAGCCCTCGGCTTGGTGAGGGCGCACACTGTTATAGCGGGTTTGGGGTTCTCTCTAAAAGGGTTTAGGGTTTAGAGTTTAGGGTTGAGGGTTTAGGGTGTATTTGCCTGCTCTAAGTGCTGTACTGGCAAGTTCCACGGAACTTCCTCCGTGGCTGCTCGGCCTAGCCACGGGCCGTATGCATCGTTTCGTGCGCATCAGCACGCGTTCTGAGCACAGACACTGCACATACACGCACTACGCCTCACGAGAAGCATACCTGAATATATGCAAGTCCCAACATACAACGAACGCCAAGTACAATACGAGATACATCAAGTACTCAATACACCCAACATCAGCATATGCATTACTAGATGTCGTGAATAGTCTACTTGACCCATGGGAGTGGAAATTGGCGAATGCCTGCTGCGGCCACTGCCAATTTCACAGCAGCTCTTTTTGAAGTCGGCAGGAAAACATTGCACCCTGCGCTCGCAGGGATAGCTTACTTCTGCTCACACCTTTGGTGACAGGTGCGCTACTGGAGGCTGCGCGACATGGCGCAGGAAGAATGGATGTTCATACAACGCGGCGCCGTTGCGCCTTTAGCGCCCTTGCCGCGTTGATATAGACACATGAGTGGAAATGATGCGATAAACTCTTCGAGCGAAGATTCAGGGCCAGGGGTTTAACTCAAGAGTGTCCAGTTGATTTCGAATGATCCAGTCAGCTTGACGTGACCGTGGACGCCGGATCAAGGCCGATCAGGATCATCACAACTGCACCTTTGCTCGTTGTGTATTCTTTGCTTCTGCAGCGTCTCGGGCACGCACCCCAGAACCCAAAGTAGCCCGAGCAAGCCTGTCGCACTTGACATGAAATGCACAGACAAATGAGCTAGCTAAGGCTGACCCCAGGTAGACTTACATTGCCTGTTGGAAGATGCATGAGAGGGCCTTCTAAAGCAACTGTTTGCCATCCCAGCCAACCTGCTGCAAGCTCTGCAGCATGCAAGGAGACCGTGGCCGTCAACATGCAGAGGAAAGCTGGCGTGATGAACTCCATGCTGCTGTAAACCAGCCGATACACTGCCAGGAACGCACCTCGTCCATCTCCCGATGGAGGTCTGCCCCGATGGTCAAGAGCAACCCGGCGCTGAGGCCGTTCCCCAAACCAGTAAGGCTACCAGAGGCGATGAAGGCCTTCGCCGTGTCGAAGATGAGAAGCCCAATCCCGAGGGACTGCGGCACCAGGCACACCGCACCGACACGGCGCCGTCCGTACGAGTCCATGAACTGTCCAGCCAATGGAGAGACAAGCATGTCCACCAAGAATGACCAGCCGGCGACCTGCCCAATGAACACATCGGAAAAGCCTGCCTGTCGGCCGGCAAGGGGGAAAAAGAGCTCTCTGCCCTTCCGGACGCACGACAATGCGCAAGCAAAACACAGCACGCGCAGAAGGCGGCCGCTGTTTTGCAGGACGGCATCTTTGGCCTGAAGCACGCCGCTGCTGGTGAGGGCCTCTTCCATGGCCGCTTCTTTCTCGCCCAGAAAGAAGCTCACCAGGGCCGCAAGGATGCCGCAAGCCAGCTGCGCAACGAAGACTGCACGTATGCCAAGGTTTCCCTGTAGGAGGGAGCCCAAAGAGGGCCCCAGAGCTAGGGCCAAGCTGGCCAGGGTTCCCATGATGCTGAGTGCGAAGCCTCGGCGCTCTGAAGGAACGGTGCCGGAGATGAAGGTCTGCTGCGCCAGCGCGCTCAGTGAGTTTGCCAACCCCAGCAGGAACTGCGAGGCCATCAGCATCCTCACATCCTCCACAAAGCAAATGCCGGCTGAAAGGAGAAAGCACCCGCAGGCCAGCAGCAGAGTGCGCTTGGCACCCATACATGGCAGGAGAAATCCTCCGGGGACGTTCGCCATCATGTAGCCTACGCCGTAGAAGGATACCAGCAGCCCAACTTCTGCCGTGCTGCCACCCAGGTCCAGAACATGAAGAGGAACCGGGACAGAAACCAAACCACGAACCGTTCGACAGAGGAGGCAATTGCTGTAGACTGGCGCGAGCATCCACAGGACCTGCCCTGACGTCGGCATTTGCAGCAACTCCTCCTCCATGGCCGTTGACTCCACCAGCAGCTCCACATCATCTTCCCGCTTCGATTCGGACATGGCTACGCTGCTGTGCTGGATTATGCTGGCAAGCTCATGCGTTCTGCGAGCCATATGAGCCACCGCCACGTTGCAACATGTCCCCCATGCGTGGGTATTCCCGACTCTACGGCGCCGCAACGGGCACGTGAAGTTGCCCTTGGCTCGCATCGCTCCTAACAAAACAAGACCAAGAACGGCACCTCTCCTACCCTTTTTGTTGAGGGCCTGGGGCCCCGGGCCGACGGAGATTCTGGAGAGCCAAGTCAGCTTGCCCAAACCGCCGGCGAGGTGCTCGCAGCCTGTGTCGCCTCCGGCCCGGCACGCGAACTGAAACGAAACGCGGACGTCACTCAACAAGAACCGATTATCAAGTCAGGCACCGTCCGCCCTCAGCCACGCATACTTGCGTGGCAGCTGGGAACACGTCGGGAAACAAACCTTCGGAGTTTTGCACCCGGTGCTTGCAACTTATGTGTGCAACTCGAGTAACAAGGGTCCGTCGCGGGGCCTTATATACTACATACCTGGCTTTCTCTATGGCGGGCTCGTTTCAGGATGTGGAAGTCTATAGTCCAGGCCTGGGGTTTTTCGGCGTGCTGCTGCTCCAGGCTCCCGGTAGAAATAACAAGATCGAGGGCGTGTTAGGATGTGTTGCAGGTAACCACGAGTTCTGCAGCTCCAGCGCCATTGTTGGGCCCCTAAAAGACTGAGGACCTTTGCTGAGGGCACTGGGAGGGTTTAGGGTTAAGATGAGCTCCGGACCAAAGTTCAAACGTCCCGGCCGGAGGCGCCGCCCAAAGTGTGGCCTCCGTCGGGGACGTAGTGGTTTAGGGTTTAGGGTTTAGGGTTTAGGGTTTAGGGTTTAGGGTTTAGGGTTTAGGGTTTAGGGTTTAGGGTTTAGGGTTTAGGGTTTAGGATTTAGGGTCTCTTCATAAGCTAAATACCCTCAACCCCACCCTTCACCCTGAATGGGGCTGGCAATTTTGGGGGGTGCGAAATGGCCCAAGGGTTTAGGGTTTAGGGTTTAGGGTTTAGGGTTTAGGGTTTAGGGTTTAGGGTTTAGGGTTTAGGGTTTAGGGTTTAGGGTTTAGGGTTTAGGGTTTAGGGTTTAGGGTTGATCAAAGGAGCCACGTGAGATGCGCGAGCTTCTCCGTGCTGCCCACATTGAAACCCTGATGATGTCAGGCGCGACATTTGTCAAATCTTCGAACCCTTACGCGAAGAAGCTTGATGCTAGATGTTCCCCTTGGGAGAGGGGGGGGAGGCGGGGGGGGGGAGGGGGGGGGCACATGAGGCAAACATCAAGTACTTCCAGTAAGACTGAGGCCCTGAGAACCCCAAAAACAACAAAACCCGAAACCCGAAACCTTAAACCCTAAACCCTAAAACCCTAAACCCTAAACCCTAAACCCTTGCTAACAACGGCCTTCGGGACTGAGAGATGCCGTGGCAGCCGCTGGGAGGCCCGGTCTGACCACTGCATCCTTGCTTCCATGACCTGGCTTTGGGGCTTGTGGTTTAGGATTTTGGGTTTCGGTTTAGGCTTTAAGGTTCAGGGTTCAGGGTTCAGGGTTCAGGGTTTAGGGTTTAGGGTTTAGGGTTTAGAGTTTAAGGTTTAGGGTTTAGGGTTTGGGGTTTAAGGTTTAGGGTTCTCCGAAAATCTACTGGTTCAGGGCTGTAATTTAGGACTTTCCGCTTGCAGGGTTTAGGATTTGGATGGGGGCGTGTTGTATTTCAGGATCTTGGGCATTGAGGCTCAAAAAGGTATTGGAGCTGGCCTCAAGAGACAAGTTTTTGGCGTTTTCATTTGTCGACCAGGACATGCGGATGGCTGTCAAAGATGGGTAAGCGACCCTCTGTCATCCAGGAAGCTTACGCAACCAGACCAACCCCTCGCGAAACAAAGCCCACACATATCATAGGTCCCACCTGCAGTGAACGACATCGCATGTGGGCAGGTAGCTCAAGTCACCATGCTGGGATGAATGGCTTCGGCTAAGAGGTTTAAAAGCAGCAGTTGAAAGAGCGAACGCATGAAAACCTTTCTGAACGGAGCTCCCTCTTCCATCTTTTTTACATTCGCGCCGTAAAGCTCAATTGCAATCTTGTGCGTGAACGGTGTTGTACATTCACGTAACAACGAGAACAAGGGAACAGACGCGAAAAAGAAGGCCCAACACAAAAACAATGCGCATTAACAAAGTGCGTGCTCTTTCTTTTTCCTGTTCACTGGTGCACAAAGTAATCAGAATCCAAAAGCAGGGTTCTTAGCTTCCGTGGCACGAGAGACTTCTGCACCCAATAGTTTCGGTTGAGGGACATTGGAAACAAGCATTCCGAAAGGTACAGCTACGGAAGAAGAGTTGTAGACGTAAATCGAAACTTGATTTCGGAGCTTCGAAACCATGCCCCAAATCTCGAATACGATGCCCTCAGAAGTAGCTAAGGGCCATGCAACAGCCAAATGCAAGAACCACTGCGGGTTGACAAGACTATCAGTCCCGGAGCCGTGTTCGGTCTTTGTCTTGGCAGCGCGCGAATTAGGGAAGTATCAGCGAAGCCGTTTGGCTGGCGGGCTCTTTGGGCCACACAACTTAACGCCAGAGTACCTGCACAAAAATCGAGGTTTTGCCAGGAAAATGCAAACTCCAACCAGCATTGTCGTGGACAAAGCGGCAAAACTTGCAAACGGCAGCACCATCCTGCCGGTCAAAACTCATGTGGGAGCGCCACTGACGTGGATGTCGGAAAACTACCTGCTCGATTTTTGGAAGCCTGCCCCACATCCCCAAGACACGCTGCCGCTACCATCGCTTTGGATATCAACCCCAAGTGCAGCAGATTCCCGAGCCAACCCCTGCCCGATGGCAAGCACTTGACCAGCTGCGACCTCCGGGGCCAAGATCAATGTTGGAAAACCCCGCTTCTTAGAAGACTTCCTTCTCAAGGCCACCCCCAAAGATCTTGAAAGCAGGACGGCCACGCGTGGTGGCGCGGGTCCTTTTTGTTTGAGTGGCACGGGCATGTCCCTGAAAATATCTGATGCTATGAAGGGGCCGAAGGCCGAAGATGACCTCTCCTGCCCGGTTTAGTGCAGCCGAATCCTACCCGAAACGTCAACCGAAGCTCATCGGACCGGCCCCTGCGCTTGGTCCGCCCGCTTTTTGCCGTTGGGAATCAGGGCAGCTACAGTAACCCTACCAACTTAGGGCGAAGAAAGTAAAGGAAACTACCAAGCCCACAACCCTCACACAAGTCAGGTAGCTGGCACGCTTTTCTCTCACAAGCGAAAGAAGACGTGCTTCGGAAGCTCGTGGCCTTGAACCTTGAGCTGAGGCTTCTTCAGCCACATGGCTTGAAATACTCTCTGCAGCTTCGAAAACGAACGGACAACGTTCGAACGACAAACGAACGACTTTCACCACAGTTCAAACACTATGTACATGCACACCACACCTACTTTGAAGTTCAAATCACCATCGAAGCATGCTCAAGCAATGCCAAGCAATTCCAGACCGTAGATCTGGTGGCACACCCTCTAAAATTGGGTTTGAAATTCAGTCGAGAGCGGAGCGTCGCTAGCCAGGTTAGGCTCTTCGGAACCGAAGTTCCGGAAAAGGTGAAACTTTGCACAGAAAAACTCAAGGTCTCTCTAGGTGTCCTTGGCCTGCTAAACACGGCCGTAATACGTGCGGGGATCACCGAGAGAAATGATTAAGGGCTTAACCAGATCCGCGAGAAGCTCAGTGGCCTACAGCAACTCACTGGTTTGGCACTGTACAGAGCCCTAGACAATTGTTCTGCAGGTTGAACTGCCTGGTCTGTACTGCCTACCCTGTCGGCCCTGCCTCTACAGGGGAGAAACTCACCCACCCTCGGCTCACACAGAGAAGGCAAAAGGTCTGGAGCCGACACGTGGGCTTTGCCTGTATGTCTACTGCACACAAGTGACTCGGCCTCGTCGTCAACCTCCCGAGCAGGCCTGGGCGTTCTCGCTCTTACTAACCTAGCCCCAGATGCCCATGCCGCAGCAGCACTGAGCTCCTGTTTGCCCCGGCGGCTGCCCTGGTTTTCTCGCACTTACTCACCAGGCAGGACGGCACCAGCTTTCTCGCTCTTACTGATTGGCCCTTGACCTCACGGCTCCGAAAGGAACCCATGCCACTTGCACGCAGGGAGGGCCTGGTTGTGTTGGGCATTCTCAGTTGGGAAGGTTCTCGGGCACCGAGCCACAACCTTTAACCTCCGCAAACTGGCACCTCTGGCTGTCCGCCAGCCCTTTCTATGGTCCCTAAACAAACCAACGCCCCACAGGGCTTGCACCAACCAGAGAAACAACAACACCCTGCAGGGAGACAAAGGAAATCCTCGGCAGGCCAAACACGGGTAACCCCAAACTGGGTGAGTGGCGGCATACCCTAAGACCTCAAGCGGGTGGGAGATCTCGTCTCCTCGCGGCCCGTCACCCCAGCGCGCTCCCTCCCCTCATGAACCTGTGAGGATCAACGGGGACCGGTTCTCACGTTTTCCGACCGTGCACTGCGGTTGCGAGAACCCCGTGTTGGGCCTGTCAAGGACCCACAAGCACCTCAACCCGAAAACCGGTCCAGTGGTCTGCTTAACATGACCGAACAAAGGGCTGAGCCGACATCAGGCTATACAAAAGCCGCGAAACGGCGGCCTTCCCCAACTGAGAGTGCCATCAGGGCACCAAAGAGAATCTTGCATGGAATTGGATCAAACATCGATCGCATAAGGATGCAGGTTGTGAGAATGCAAATAGGAGTGCTCAGTCCCGGCGCGTACCCAGATCCGTCCATCGGAATATGGTCGCAGTTGTTCCGTTGGACGCTCTGCAAGGAAGCGGGCTCACTAGGTCCGCCACTCATTCACCGGGGAGACTTCTCCACCCGTGACATTGGGATTCCGGAGGGTGAGCACCTTGATTCTGGCAGGGCATTCGCTCCTGCGATTTTGGGTGGGTTGGAGCCGATTGAAATCATACCTCCCAAGGGAAGTCTTCCAAATCCTCGAAGCCACACAGTTGCCAGTCGCTGCCGCTGCTTCTGGGAAGTCCTGATCTTGAAAACACCCTTCCTCCAGGAAGGTCCAACCAATGCGCTGGCTGCAGAAGACGGCAGTGCCAGCGATGCTCTTCTGGCTCCAAAACTGGTTACCTAATCGGGGAGGTGTCGTCCAGAACCACCGGCCGGTCTCCTAACTGCTTGGTCGAAGCTCCGCCAGCTCCGTGCACTCTGAGAAGGTTTCAAGACATAAGGTGCAGCGGAACTCGATGCGTCTTCCATCCTCCATACATGATCGCTGGTTGCCTTTCCCTCGGATCAGGCATGAAAATTGAAGTTAGGGAAGTATTGTCACATCCAGATTCATGGGCGCAAACAAGGCGAAGCCACTGAACATTTTGGGTTGTCGCTGGTGCCATCATTTTCCAAGCATCTCCATTGCCCACAGGACCGGCTCTGACAGTTCTGCCGGATTGACTGGTGTGAACAAAATACACGCTGCTGCATAAGCATTCTTTACAGCTCTTCGAGAGCAGAGGCTTGATGAAAAGAACTGTCTCTGGGACTACAACTGCTTGAAGGGTTCTGGTTTGCACAAGGGAGTTCCCCAAGCCGGTCTGCTTCGCCCGCTGCAAATACGTACAAACACATGGAATACGTACAAACACATGGCAAGTGCAAGACAATTGGGCCAATGACGAAACGCATGGGAAACATTCAAAGACAGCTCTTTGTTGCAAAAAAAACGCAGACCCGGACCCTTATTTCTGTACGCGCAGGTCCGTGCTGGGACGGCAAATCAGACGCCCCGATATGGAGGCTTTTCTCCGGATACCATCCGCTGAGAACCGGAGCATTGCAAGTCTTCGTGCTGACTGTACCCAAGTCCTCCTGATGGATGCCAAGCCGCATCTGGCTGACTTGCCGCCCCCGTATCATGAACTTGGTCCCACGATGAAAAAATTTTGGGTATGTGGCTCCCCCACCTGTCGTTAGAGCGCCTGGTTGACATGCTGGGTTATCAGTTTTTAGCCATGGCCTCGGAAGCAGAAATCGAGGAGGAGCCCTCGGAACAGTATCACTACCCAGAGCAAGCTGCGGTCAAGCGGGCCGCCACCCCCGTGGCGATAAAGCCCGGCACGCATACGTGGCCAATCTGCCTTCTCCATCGAGTTTACCCAAGGGCATCGGTCATGCTCCTTACACCGGAGTTGGCGGATGTCCCTGACTGGGCCACAAAGTGGTTTGCTGTCGCTGGTAAAGTGCCGGCCAAGGGCACTGCTTTGCTGGTTACCTTGAGAGAAGACAAGGGGGATGTGGCCTACCCAGGCATGTTTATAGAGCTCCTTGCCCCGAAGAAGCTTCTCACCGGCCCTGGAGAAAGTAAGGCCATGCAGCCAGTCAATATAACCATTGCCCTGCTCTTGACTGATGAACAGCACAACCAATTCGCACAACGACCCTCACTGCCGAGAGTCAGCCAGCTTGAGGTTCTGCCCGGAGGAGCCTCTACCCCGCTTTGGGATGCTCTGCTACACATGCCTAGGGAAAGGCAGCATGTTGCATTGGGCGTTCCGCTAGAAGACTCGCCTCTTGATGCCATCCGGCAGCCACAGTGGTTGCCGGGCTTTCTCACAGATTTAGTGCTTGTCCTCCTTATCGGGCTAGTGGCGAGAGGGGACTGGCACGACACATGGGCACAGCTCATTCACCCGGAGGTCTGCCAAGTCTTCAGAGGCAAGCACGAAGCGCAAGCTGCGCAGGCATCGCTTACTGCGGGTCCAGGGGCTTCCAACCCCTTGCAAAGCTTCCTCAACCTTTGGCTTGCGGAGGAACAATCCTATCGCCAAGAATGGACGCCGACGCTGCTGAGTGGCGTGTTAGCTACGCTGCCTGACTCTCCGCTGCCCGGCCAGGAGGACGCCC